GAAGAATTTATGAAAGAAAAATATTATTTTAGATAAAAATAAAAAAATAGATAAATCGAAGCTAAGGGCATGCGAACGGGGAATGGGATGCGATGTCCCTACTCTCCCTACTCGCCTCCTCCTCCCAGTCCCACCACACTGGTATGGTAGGTGCTACGTCGCGTCTTCTTTCTTTCTCTGCCTTTTTTTTCTCACTCACTCCTTTTTCTTCCTTTCCTTCCGTTCTCTCCTTTTTTTTTTGTCTCCCTTCTTCCTTTCCTTGTGAAATGAAAGCGAGTTACTGTGTTTCAAATGTTTGAATTTTTATTAGGATATATATAATTAATTAAATTAAAGGGAAGAGATAATTTATGTTATTTTCTAATAACCAAACAATGACAAATTATATGTTGTCTGAACAATACTAAAAAAAATGAAGCACCTGAAATATAGAAGAGGTGGAAATAAAAAAGGCATGTAGCTTGCTTTCTCTGAACAATACTATTGGCTATAAAGCCGTTAATAAAAAAAAAGGTTTGAATCTTTGAAATCTAGAATTGCATCATCATCTCGTACCAGCTGCCTTGAGTGGTCATCAGAAGCTTTCTTGAGCGATTGTAATCAAGAGCAGCAACCAATAATTAGAGTATGTCTCAATCTCACATGAGAAGGCCGGCCTTAATCTCTCCCCAACAAGCGAAGCGAAGTGAAAGTCCTGGCTCCGCTCCTTTCCTTTCCTGAACCCAGAGAGGCAAGGGAAACGTCATCTCACTGGTCACTCCTGCTGTAGCCGTCACTGTCACTCCACTCACAGAGGTAGCACTAGAAGGAAGGAACCGCGGAGAACACGGCACAGAGCTTTCACCCCACGTGGCCTGCGCATGGGCGCGGCCGGCCGCCTCCACCTTTGTCCCTGTATAAACCACCGCCCCTGCGATCGCCACGAAAGGATTCGGCTGCCTGCTCCGCGGCGGTGGCGCTCTGGGACCCGCTACAATACTCTGCTGTTGCAATGGTGGCCGCGACTGCCTCATTCAACCGTACGTCTCCCTCACGGCCCGGTGCCGGTCCCGCCCGTCGAGGGGCGCCGTGGTTCTTTTGTCGGCTTTAATTTGTCAGCCAGTGTTGGGCTAACGGACCAAACAGGCCGGCCCCTTTCTGAATTCCCTGAATCGGTAATCAGCGAGGGCAGTCTCACCGAGGTTTCAATGGTTGAGTTTCCAACAAACTTATCTATTAGAAATAGAAATAGTGCATAAGAGTTTTGTCTCCATAAAACTATCTCTGCTCTCATAAAACTTTCGTCATCTCTCTTAATCAATACAGTATCGTGTCAGCGTATTTAATGTCCACCAAAGTCTACGAAACCTTCGTTGAGATTGGCCTAAGCGCTGCAGACAAACTGCTTGCTGCGGGCACAGTTAGAGCTTCCATGGTTTTGCCGGAACCGGATACTTTTGCACACCAAAGATGACAAGAAACGAGCAAACTATACTTACAGTCACACTAATAAATCATTTTAGCTCGCCGGTCCGATCGAGCTCCGTTTCCTGAAAGTTTCAGTGTTCTTTTTTTCTCGGTAGCCTGACGACATGCATGAACGCCCCTGACCATTTATTTCCACACCTGCGCGTTGGATCACCATGCGCTGTTCACAAGTTTCAACCTCATTGCATGCAACATGAATGAATCCAAATAAATTAAACCCCAGTAACTCGAGATGATCCCTGGTCCAAGTGTGTTTGTTTCTTCCACCCCAACTGTAGTTTACTGTTTATTTATAGGCCACACAATGACACACGTTGTGGTCTACGCCACTCCATGGAACGGCCGGCTCCTGTCGCATGCATGAAGCTCATCATAAAGAATACAATAAAATAAAATCGAGTGATGAGCTTGCTTTGCTTGGCCCTGAACAACTCTGCCCCATGCATCATCCACGTGGCACCACTGGCCCTCCACCTCCTGATACCGTGGGCCCGGATCCTACGGCAGCTCGACGCATCGCATGCTCCGATGCTCCCTTGCACTGGTGTATCCACCAGAGGCTGACCTTCCCGCTGCTCGCCACCACACCTCGTGAATCATCGATGTCATTATTGCATAAAAAATTTGGTAGTACTTGCACTATTATTCGACGATGAGTTGGAAATCTTTCTAGTCAGGTTACATGCATATGCCTCCTTTAGACCTCTAGCAAAAACAAAGACACTCTAATATATATAGTTGGCTCTGAAAGGAAAAAAAATTCCTCAGCAGGTCAAAGCATGCACCTGAAAGTGTGCTAGCTTGCACTCTATTTTTCTTCAGTCAAGCCTGTTCGATTTCGTCGTAAACGATCGTGGATTATTTACTGCTGACTGGTTTGGTGTGAGAGAAAAATACTGTTCCAGCTTATAATCCACGATCGTATACGAGCGAGCGAACAGGCTGAGAAAACAAAGCAGGATGACTGACGACCCCAAATGCTTGAGAATGCAGCGTCTTCAGAGTTCAGACAACGAACGTGGAATCTTTAATTTCCCAGAAGTTTCTGCACATTGATGTCATGAAGCGGCAGGTAGCGACCAGGTCATTTTCGACAACTTAGACTAATCGTCCACTAACAGCGACAACTATTAGGGACAATATAGGAATCTAATGGACCCTAAGTATGCCATCAAATGTTGGACTTGCGTTCTCAAATGCTACCTGTCTGAATCACTCGCCAACTGACGTTTACAATGCAAAATATCTGCCCTACTTTATGTTTCAGGCCTCGGTATTACATCATTCACTCCAAGAACTGACAAGCAACTAAGCTTTCATTATGGTATAAACAAGGCTTTCCGGAAACGATGACACAGTTCAGGATCTAATCGTAATGGCGGTGTTCTTGACTAATAGGAACAAATTAATGAGGTACAGAACTACAGATAAGAATGGCAGTTTGATTTTTTCCCCAACACCTGTCATATTATTATGAGAGAACATATCTCTGCAAATAAATCACGGTACCCATCCAATTTGACCAAAAAGAGAAAATAAAGATAGTGAATACGTCTTGCTGTATCATATCTTTAGTTTCAAGGAAAAATCTATAAGACGAAAAAGTCTGACTTGTAAACTGCACTGCAAGTCTCCAAGGTAGAGAAGAAATGCACCTAACCTAATTAACTTTTTTATCTCCAAAACCACGAGCCAAAAGTTGGCCTTCCTGGTGCTTTCACCTGAAGTAAACAAGTAGGATTAATCAACTAATAAATATAAACAAAGATGAAACATATAAAAATCTCCCAAATCACTGAGAGCCGCAGAAGCCGCTGCCACACAATGATTGCCCAAAGCACGATAGGCCAAAATAAAATAAACTGGTCTTCTACCCAAGACAAGAATCATACCAAGAATCTGTAGTACTCCCTCCTGCGCATGCAAAACAGTACGATGCAGCGGTATACAAGTGCCTATCATGGCACTCCTAACTCCATGATTGTTCTTGTTTAATTCGTTCTCCCTCTGTCCTATGAGTTCCTGATGTGCAGCTATTAACCGGAGCAGGGTGGTACTAGCACGTTCCATTCCATTGCCAGCCTGATCGATTTTCATTTAATTTGCATGTTGCAATGGAAAGGACAAGGAGAGATTATTTGTCTCGTGCTTTGACATAACAAAGAATTTTCGAAACCGTTGAATGGTGAGCGATTGTTTCCAAAGTCCAAACTGCCGCTGGGCTACTAATCATATTCATGCATCTGTTTATGATGGCTAACCCTTTGTCATAGCATACTCATACACGTCGAAGATTCTTCTGTCTCTGTTTCGAAAGCGCCTGCATGTTGAAAACTCTTATAAGAGCACATAATTCTGACCGAGAGGAAAGCAACTAGAGGAGAGTTTTTATTTTTTCCATTGTGGACATTGTTGGGGCAAAATCGTATAACCAAAAACATGAGATAAAATATATATGCTGAAGAAATCATCCTGATAAATATATATCCTGCAGTCCGCACTTGAGTTTGCCGGGGTTTGTCATCGCTCTTCAGATGTCACACATATAATACATAGCATGAATGAATAAAAGAAAGAAAGAAAGAAAGAAAGCATGAATGAATAAAAGAAAATATATAGGAAATCCTGTAGGAGTCTAGCTAGGACACTAAAGCAAGTAGGACAAGGGAAATATATAGGAAATCCTGTAATGATAAGGCGTGTAGTACATATGCCACTTTTCTGAACTGTTAAGCAACGCAATTGTGTCGTTGAGTCATTGGCTCCTTTCTCTCTTTTGGCTGCGGTGACCGAAAGGTTTGCGGTGCGTCGGTGACGGCGGACGGCCGTGGAGGAGAAGGAGACGAAGGGAGGGGGAGCGCAAATGGATTCACGAGCGGGCAGGCGGGGAGCCATCGGGTAATCCTCGCGGTCGCGGTTCAGAGTTCACTGCCCTGCCCCCGGAGGATCCGAGTCTAGATGGAGAAGACGATGCAATCGCCTCGGTTTAGTTAGCAGGACGATCGCGCGATGGGCTGGGATAGTGAGTTTGGGCTTAAGTGGGCCGGGATCACATGAGGGCATGCTGGGGATAGTTCGGACTCCGGCCCAATCCCCACAATAGTGGGCTGGTATTTTGGAATAAGTTTTGGCCCACTCACTAGAGTCCGCCAGGACGATTTTGGAGTAATGAAATTTGTAATAAAGGAAATTATAGCTCTTGCCAACAGCTATGAGGTTGCAGTTTTGAGTTTTTTATTTGTCGTTAAGATGTTTAAATAAACTAGTGGCCATGCACGTGTGACACGCATGTGTCTAAAAAAGTTCGTAAACATGAGTGCAATAGTAATGTCATTTTTACAACTCTTCATCATCATTGTCACACCACCCCCCCTATCTTCATCTTCTCATGTGTAGTAAAGACCAACATATGTTTCCTCGGGCAATGACCTTAGCTCTAGACTCACTCTCTTATTGAATCAGAGGACTGCCATCTGCTTGACAATGCCATCCCGTGATTTTCTTTGATTGTTGATAGAGAAAGAAGTCGATGGCTATGAAAACTTGTAGTTTGCTTGACAATAATGGACAATGTACCCACTTTCCAGCATTGAGCTGCATATAGCCTCGCTAAGTGCTAAAGGCTCAGTCTTCATAAAACTACAATGAAAAAATAGATGCATTTAGATTTGTGAAAACAAATAATTTTGATATGAAAAACTCCGGTGGGAGTCCCTTTGTGCTAAATGCAAAGACATATTTGCAAGGTAAAAAATAAATTTCATTTCAAAACTTGTCATTCCATACAAAATTTTTAAATTGCTTCTCAATTTCAAGACAATCAAACCCTGCTAGAAACAAACCTAGAATCAATTTTGGAGATGAGTTATGTGGTTTCTTCTGGCTCATTTGAGAATTGCTTGGTGGAAGAAGAACGTGTTTCTGTCACCAGAGATGCACCAACTTTTTTTGTATCTTTGTTGGTGGAACGCTTCTTGTATGGATAAGATTATGTGGTGTTGGTTGGTGAGCTCTTTTTGAATGCTTTGGTTTTGAGCAGATAGAGGTTTCATTTGGTGTTGAAGGAGGCTGTCTTCAATGGTTTGAAGCTGATCAGAAATTTTAGGTTTAGATTTTCTCCATATTTTAAGGTCAGCAGTGAGATAAGAATTTTTTTTTGTGGAAAGCTCTGCATCTAGATTTTTGCCAACTTTGCTTCGCAATTTTATGGAAATCATTTTCAAGCAACCGGAGGAACACTGTAGCTACGGGAATTAATACCAGCTCGGAACCGGAGGAAGGGTTGAACTTGAGCTTTTTTCACGAAGTGAGGACGAAAACACAAAAGAGTTAATTAGCAAATGTGGTCTATTCAACGTGTAGAGTGGATCTTAGCCGTCTTCGTGGTCTGGAGCGTTACATTACAACATCGAGGAAGCAACTATACATTACATTACAACATCGAGGAGGCAACTATACATGGGATATACATGGGGATAAACAGACCATAAACGCATCTACAGCTGAACAAAGGATGCTATGTTTGCAACCTCAATACTGCTTCACTAACAACACCCACAACCAGATACAATCGAGACGGAAATTGGGGATAAGTAGCAAGCAAGGGAATAAGATGCTAGAGGAAGGTACTAGAAGGATCTAGAAGGACTAAAAGTAGGAATCAGGATACAAGAGGAAGAGGGGCCGGAGGAGGAAGAACTACAGTAACTAGAGAGGAGATGTGTTTGTTCTGATATTCGTTGATGCCGTCCTTGGCCTCCTGGTACCCTTTTGTATCTGAAGCTCCCCTTGACAGCCTAGCATGGGCCCACACGACAGCCATACTATGACCTTCCCCTCTCCTTGAATTGCGGCTTGCCCCTAAGCCGCGCATAGGATGTGCGAGGGTTGTAATGTTTGCCTGTGTACCGGAAGTCCCTGATTGCGTGCACTGAACAAACAGCTTGGAACACGAGGTCCATCATCAAGTCTCTTGAGAGCAGAAACTGCAGCTCGAAGCTCAACACCACTATAGAAGACTGGCAAGCAGCTTCAGCTAACTGATCAGCCAACTTCTGATGACTTTCAGATATAGCCCTCTTTAAAGCCAGAATGTCAGTTGTGGTTAGAGTTCCCTGCGGTTTGGCACCAGCAGCAATCCGTTCTACCTCATCCAAGGCATCTAGTGCTTCATCCATTCCTCCTTCGTGTTGGGACATGGATATGTGAGTAGCGGAGGCTAGATCCCACTTTGGACTACAAAAACTAACACCAACAGGTCGCGTATGTGATGATGTGCAGGAACCCCTAAAGGAGCCTTCGCACACGATCAATGGTCTGGCAAAGACCCCGGACGCGGCGGCGAAGGCGGCGAAGGCTCCCGGGCGTGGTCCGAGGCGGAGGTCCAAGAAACAGGAGCGGAGGCTCGGATAGCAAGGCGGAGGCGGAGATAGCTCGAGTGGAGGCTAGGCGGTCTCCGCCGATTGAAGGGAACTTCCACGGCGCCTTGGCTCTGGGCCGGAGATGGGCCTCCCATAGGCCAACGGCCAAGGCCCAAGAAGCAGAGGCGGTGCAAGAAGAGAAGGCCTGGATTGCCCCCAGCAGTTAGTATAGGTGCGGGAATATTCCAGGAACATACCTTAGCTGGCGCAGGGTAGAGATATAAAAAGGAAATCTAGCAAACAGTGCCCTATAAAAAGGAGGAGCCAAACCCTGTGTATGGAAGGTTGGTGAATTCATTTATGAAACCCTAATTGACTCTGGGTCCACTTACCCACTCACCTTCGCCTCGAGCCTCCGCCCAGGCAAAGATTTTGTTATCTCTAACCCGTCGGAAACCCTGTTTTCCAACACTTCGGCTAGCACAACAGCAAGTATGCCAGGGAATTATGTGGACCATTTCCATATTTTTTATGGCTCCTGCACATAAATTGCTTTTTTTAGGAAGAAGAGATGCTCCTGCACGACAAACTTGACATCTCCAATGCTCACTGGGCTCTGCTCCTCGAGATCACTCTTGTTGCGAACCAGCATGATCACAATGTTCTTGACATCCTGGGTTTGTGCATCTAGCCAGCAGGGTATATGATGGAAGCTCTGGCGTCTGGGGATGTCATAGAGCAGCAAGGCTCCCAGTGCACTTCTGTAATAAGCACTTGTCACAGCTCTGTACCTGATTTGTTGGCGAAGTTGTATCGGCCATGGTGGTTTCCAACTAACAACCCAATTCATGGAACAACTATTGGTCAAGGTGAAAGAAATACAAAACTGAACTGAGTCTTGTGGTTTTGTGAATATGAGATTTGTATTGCTACTGCATCCATTGTGATTCTTCTGCTTTTGCTCTTGAATTAGCTCACCAGCTAGCAACAGAATTAGGACATTTATATCACTGGCCATATGGACACATCCTGTCAGAACCACACAACAACATAGATCGGCAATGAAACATCCATCTAGGTAGCAATCTCTAGTGACACCAAGATGTGTTGGCTCCAAGCAAACAGCACACTGCCAATTCTCCTTGAGCTTGAGTAATTCTAGCAATTGCAGCACAGTAGTGGTTGCACAACAGAGAAGAACTGTAATGGCTTCACCATATTAGAAATGTCATCATTATGTCAGCAAACCACTTGGGAACCATTAATCTATCCTTATGCCAAGCAAGTCTAAAAGTACCACCACACTGTTGTTGCATTTCTTCCTAAATGAGCACATGGAGACTCCACTCTGTTATCACCATCTTGTGTTTCCAACTTTCCACAGTTTCAGCATGCACAGTTCTGAGATATTGATGAGCTGGGGGTGGCCATGGAGGCTTCCTGGACAAACTGTAGCACTTCCGAATAGCAAGCTCACGAACTACTGTGGTGAAAGATGGCCATGAAATGGAACGTACATCATCACTGCCACATTCAAACTCAACTTGCATGTGTGGCGGTGGCCAAGGGGGCTTTGACCATATGACATCCGACACCGCGTCAAGAAGATTACCAACAACTAGTCTGTGCATACCTTGCTCGCTGAACACTTGAGCTTGAGAGGGTGGCGGCCACAGTCGCTTGTCAAAGTTGTTGTCGACCTCGGCGGACACCCAGATTGGAGAAGACTTGCTCAGTGCTATGGTCAGCATGGAAGTGAAGACACTACAGCAATACATCGAACACTTGGTGGGCACGTAGTCAGCTGTATTGTTGGGGGCGACGTCGATGTAGAAGCTAGCAGAGGTCGACTGGAAGAGCTTCCTGACGGGCGTAGTGGCGAGCTCAGTGTAGGCGAAGCCGAGGACGAAGTGGTCCGGCTTAGGGATGAGCGTGACGTCGATGTAGAAGCTAGCAAAGGTCGACTAGACGAGCTTCCTGACGGGCGCGGTGGCGAGCTCGGTGTAGGTGAAGCCAAGGACGGAGTGGTCCGGCTTAGGGATGAGCGTGACGCAGGCGGTGGGGAAGCAAGTGGATGTGTCGGAGCGCACCAGCGACACGAACGGAGCGGGACGCCAGATATGACTCTAGCGGCAGGAGAGCACCGCCGTGCGCGCGGCGTCGTTGATGGGGAGGCGGGAGATGATGTTGCCGATGGGCACGTCGGGAAGGAGGCAGAGGCGGTCGAGCGACAAGCTGCAGCCGCCGGTCCTCACACACGGGCGTGAATCCTCGGGGAAGACGCGCGTCGACGAAGGCGAGCGGCGTGCATTGTCGGCGGGAGAGCGCAGAGCGTGGCCAAGGCGCTGGCAGAGTCTGCGGCGAGGTTGGAGGAGAGCTCCGCGAGCACGCCTGCGACGTCGGCGAGGAGGCACGCGTACTCGACGCTGAACGGCGCCGGAATGCGGCGGCTGCGCGCGGACTCGAAGTCGAGGGTGGCGGCCTCGAACCAGGAGCCGTGGAGGCCATCGTCGTCGACGCTAACCTCGAGCGTGGTGCCGAACGGTAGGGGCGTATGCGGGTCCACCGCGGGGTGCGAGGAGAACTTGGCGAGGGAGACGGACGCCGGGGAAGCACCGCCAAGGTGGTGGAGGTGCTGGTAGCCTGCTCCCGACTACCAGTGCCAATGATTGAGGGGGCTGCGTCGGAGGGTCATCAATGGCGGCGTCGAGGAGGAGGACGGCGCGTGGAGGAGGTTCTTGCGCTCGGCGGAGTCCTGGCGAAGGACCGAGGTGGGCGCGCCGTCGGGGAGGACCGTGGGCTTGCGCTCGCTCGAATCCTGGTTCCCGTCGGCGTGCTGCTCCTCGTTAACTAGGGCAGGCTGCTCGAACAGCCCATCCCAGTTGTCGGCGACCACCACGGCATCGATCTGCTTGGTGGTGGTGCACGCGGACGTCGCAGCGTCAACGGCGACCTGCTCCGGGCAGGCGAGGTCGGACTCGAGGACGGAGCCGAGGCACGACGACTTGGAGCTGTGGGGCAGCGCGATGGCGACCTTCTGGACGGCGTCGAGCGGCGCGTCGGGGTCGGCGGAGGTGACGAGCGCGTCCACGGGGGCGGCGCCAGAGTCGTCGTTGCAGGAGGAGGGAGCGCGTCCGCGTGCGAGTTGCTGCAGCCTGGCGAAGCGTCGGTCCCAACGAGCATCAGCCTCATCGAACCTCCTGTGGATCTCGTCGAGGAGGGACTGGGTAGAAGGAGAGATCTCAGTATGGGGATTCATGGTGCTAGGGTTTCGAGAATCGACGGCTCCGGTGCCAATTGTTAGCAACCTCAATACTGCTTCACTAACAACACCCACAACCAGATACAGTCGAGATGGAAATTGGGGATAAGTAGCAAGCAAGGGAATAAGATGCTAGAGGAAGGTGCTAGAAGGATCTAGAAGGACTGGACGTAGGAATCCGAATACAAGAGGAAGAGGCGCATGATGTTCTAGTGGTTATGCAAACGTACCACCGCTGGGACACTAACCTAGTAGTCCTAGAGCAGGACGAACCAGTGAACATGCCAGAATCAGAATCTGATGAACGACGCCACACCGTGACACCGTGGAACAGAGTGCTAGCTAGGATTCTCATCGCTCACGCTTGTCTGACCGATCGACTATAACGTCCGAGCGACGAACAATGACACCGAAAGCTTTGCGGTGCGTCGGTGACGGCCGTGGAGAAGGAGACAAAGGGAGGGGGAGCGCGAATGGATTCACGAACGGAGCCATTGGGTAATCAATCCTCGCGGTTCACAGCCACGCCCCCGGAGATTTGAGGGCTGGGATATTGAGTTTGGGCTTAAGTGGGCCGGGATCACATGAGGGCATGCTTGAGATAGTTCAGACTACGGCCCAACTCCCACAATAGTGGGCTGATATTTTGGAATAAGTTTTGGCCCACTCATTAGAATACGCCAGTACTATTTTGCAGTAATGAAATTTGTGAAGTACTTGACAACATTTGTAGTTTTGAGTTTTTTATTTGTCACTAGTAGATATGCACGTGCAATGCACGTGTCTATAAAAATATCGAGATGGATGAGTACAAAAAAAGTGTTTAACAATTGAATTCCTACATATACGGCACACACGTGTTCATAAAAAGGTTCATTCTTAATGGAGGAATTACAGTGAAAATTTCGAGAAACAATAATACACATTCAAGAGGATTCATATAATAGATAACAAGAATCCAAATAGAAATAAGAATGTGTATTTGCCGCAGGAGTTTGCTGCTCAATTTATATACCGAATGGGAATAAACAGTGTATTTACTACAAGAGTTGGTTGGTAAGCACCAACACCATGTTTGAATTCATATCAAAATCCAACCCACAGCTAAAAGGATAACTTTCTTTCACAACAATGGTCATTTCCCTTATGGTACGCTTCAAAATTTCAATTGATTCAATTATCAATTATACAAGGCCTTAGATGAGTAGGCTAAGAAATTTCGTGATATACTCAGATGTTCCACCATAATAATGGTTCTGTAACATAGCCTGCTCTTCCCTTGCCACTTGCACCAGCTCCATGATCAGTAACATCATTAATTAGAACAATCCATATGAGCCAGCACCAGGTGGGTATTCAACCATGGGCAATGATAACAGTACCTACACATAAAAATAAAATCAACAAATTTATAATAAATAATTGACTATATACACTTATCATCGTACTCTATATACACTTCTAATGATAACACCAGTGGGGAGTGGGTTCGCACCTCAAAATAAACATAAACAAATTGAATCTACCAATGTGTTGACATTCAGTGTGCTGTGATAACGTGGCTATGCCCTTCCTTCCAACAAGACTGGTGATTTTTAATATTTCTTTGTGCTGTTAGGCTATTTTGTATAAAGAGTACAATGCAATGATAACGGGAAATATGAGACATTAGACAGAATGATAAAACTGAGGTTGGAGGTGCTACTCTACTGCACCAGATTTCTATATGAAAATTCAGAGTTGAATTGCCTGAGTCACAATTTGTATATGAAGTTATGAACCTAAACTCGACTCAAAATAATATGAGCATCAATCAATCAGAGATCTATCAAAAATAGGAGCGCGGCAAATCAATACCAGTTAGAGCACTGCAATGCTTATTCTCAGGTGTCAGTGACAATCTAAAAATGAAAATAGGAAGAAAATAAAAGATGTTAGTATATGTATGGCTATCTCGCTCATGCATTTGCACTGGAGTATTGATGAAAGGATGGTTCAAACCCACTTTTAAGAAATCATTCCAGGCGTATATTTTCATCCCAATATGATCTGCTTCTTTGATTTGTTCATTTCCGAAGCGAATGCCACCAATGCTGTAACCATGTGTTGGATAATAATGTTTGAGAAAATATAGCCTTTCTAAACTACAAATGGACCCTAAAATTTTTGACCCGCTTACCTTTGTATCCTCTTATTCACAGACTTACAATTTGGGGATAGTATCTGCATATGAAAAGCTCTCTTGTAATGTCAGAATTTATTTAAGATGAAAGATCCTAAAGATAGCAACATGGATAATTTATTTTAATTACACCGCTTTTATTTTGTTGCCCTGTATAAAGACAACATCAATCTCACCATGATCAATGATATATTAATTATAAATTTAATGCATTACTTGTTTTTTCATTAAAAGCATGTGTTCCAATATTTTTTTGTTTAATCTGAAACATTTTACGATGTGTGCCTACTATTTAATGGTCTCCTACTTACCTAAAGTATCATATAGTAGGACACAGATTAGACTATATAGCCATTAGAAGCCTGAAAAATTAATAGTGGTTTGGCACACAGAAAAAATCTGATGGGGAAAATTAAATTTTGTACAAGCCACTGACGGTTACCACTATCCACCGAGGACAGTTTCCTCTGTAGATCTCGACTCAAAAACCCTGGTATCAGTGTGTGGAATTAAACTGCACAATATCCTCTCAGATTCTCAAGTCCAGAAAGGAGACATTCCGTTTCCTGCAAACAGAAAGCCGGTCAACATACATGCAACTAATGCTATCAGAAACAACAGACCAATCAAAGTTTCTAACAAAAAAAAGGCGTTCCTGCCCTCCAAGGCTAAGCAAAAGAAAAAAACATGTAAAAAGATTTAAAATAAGTCTACTCATGCCGGTGCTCGTCCCTCCGCAACTTTCTTTGCCATGGGGGTGCTGCTGCACCGTCGTCTTGGCCTCCTCCACCGCCGCGGAGAGCGAACTTATAAAATACAGTCGGCCTATTCGCTGGTTGGTTTCTAGGCTGATAAGCCCGGCTAGTGCTGGTTTGTTGTGAGAGAGAAAACACTGTTGGCTGGCTGATAAGCCCTAGCTAAAACCAATAAGCGAACAGACTGAGTAAAGGATATCAACTTGTATCCGTAAACATCCATTACAAGAACCACAACAGTAGAAGATGTTGGAAAACAAAAGATGGAGGAACACGGGCAGTCATTCAGGATTAGGTAGCTACCTCACATGCATTGCCTCACCAGTGCTATCTTCAAGCTTGAGCTGGCGACTATCTGGATCTAAAGGGAGACGAAACCAATAGATGAATGGAACGGGGAGCATTGGAGCCGAAAAGAGAGAAGAAAGAAATAGATGGAACTCACGCTGGCTGGTGCAACACCGCACATGGTGTTGAGGGAGCGCATCCACAGGTCATCCGTCGCCGAGTGATTGCAGACGTCCAGCGTCCCCCAGCGTGCGATGGAGAGGAGAGGGGAGGAGGATTGGCGGCGCTGGGAAAGAGAAACAAATAAATCAGCATCACCGAAGCAAGCGGCGGCGGAAGAAAAAGGAAAGAGAAGTGGTTGCCGATGGGTATGGGCAAGCGGGTATGCTGATAGACGCGTGAAAAAAAAACTACGGTGAGAGAAGGGACGTAAGAATACAACGGCAGGAACGGGTAAGATTTCACCTGTAAGATGTGAGATTACGGATGGTCCACCATCAAGTTAATATACACCATTGGATTTAAAGACAAGTTACCATCCAACAGTTGTAATAGAAGGGGCTATGATTTTTTGGGTAACAACTATTTTTTAATTACTTCGCTCTTTTATAATATAGATTAAGATGTTTAAATAAATTATAGAAAATTGCAGCAGCGTATTAATCACGTACCGTGCTCGTCCCGTTGATAAATTTTATCTTTCTCGTACGGAGTCGAATGGAAATGATTTTTTTAATGAAAGCTATAGCTATCGACTATGAATACTAATTTAATTCATTATTCATATTTGTATCAGTGTATATATTTGAAGTTCAGTTCACTGCTTTGATCAACACGATGGGAGACACGTCGGCAACGGCGGGCGTGGGTAGCAATGACCCATGTGTCGGGTGAAACGCCCGGTGAGCATGTCACGTTATCCTATACACCGTGCTCCTATACATACCGCCCCATGTGGACTCGGATAAGGCACGTAACCAAGTTTCAAGACCAAAATATCATTTTAAAAGTTTCGTGAACTGCAACACCTCACCAAGTTCAACGACTGCTTGGACTAAAAATATCAATTTTGAGAGTATAGACCAGGATAATACCCGTCGTGAAGTTCAAAGACCGGTCATGAATTTTACTCTGTAGCTCATATGTGAGACCTATATGTCGAGTCCATGTCAGTACACAGTCAGCTTGCCATGTCAGTATATGGAAGTGGGTTAGGCCCTTTTTGCATACAGATAAGATCTGAGACCAAGTTTAGAGACGAAATATCATTGTCCGAAATGACACTCCCTGCTATTGAACTTAGTCAATTTTGTGTTTTTTTATTTTGTATAAAGTTAAAATGGTATATAATTAGGACTGGTGTACCATAGTCAACTTAATTATCACCGGGAAATGTCAGTGCATCCTCTATTATCATTGCATCTCGTTACAGTTTACACAAACAGGTAGAGATCTGCATACTGCACAAAAGTAGAGGCATCCGTAATTTACGCAGCGAAAACCGGACGCAGAGATCGCAGTCACCCATCACCGCCACGTTCTGATCACAGCACGTACACCATGCCCACCTCGAGCAGCGACGCCGGCGGCACGCGCAGCGCCACGTCCGGGCCGCGGCAGTTCCGACGCAAGAAATTGTAGCCGACGCCGACGGCCAGCCTCTTGAGCAGCGACGACCCGGGCTTGGTCTTCACGTGCGAGTGCCCCAGGATGAACGCCGCGCCGGCCTCCCGCGCCTCGCACAGCTCGTGCAGCTCCTCCAGCACGCTCTCGTCCACGCCGGGGCTCCTGGGCGGCGCCACCGCGAACCTCACCTGCTTCTTGACGACCGCTGCCGCCGCCGCGAGCTCTATGCCGTCCACGCGGTCAGAGTCAGACGACGCACCATCGTGGGAGTGGGAGTCGTCATAGCCCAGAACCATGTGGCGCCGCAGCGGGTTGCTCCCGATGACCGTCAGCGCGTTCTCGCGCTCGTAGTAGCTGCTGTCCCGCTGCTCGCCGCCGCCGGCGTCGCTGCAGCGGAACAGCGCGTCCAGCTTGATGAACGTGGCGAGGCTCTCGACAAGCTCCGTCTCGAAGGAGTCCACGTTCTGGTGCACGTCGCGGTAGCCGTAGCGCACGATGCAGCGG